CATGGCAGTGGCGGATCCAGCAAAATGTATTGGGAGGAGCCAAGCTACGCTTAAAATTACGGAGCGTAAATCGCAGAGAAACTATGCGTAATCCAGATGATATGAATCGTCATGCGTTTGCTGGGCCAGGGCCCACTGGTCCCCCTCTGGATCCGCCACTGCAGCATGGAAATGTATCAGTGGAAACCAATGTTACATTACCTGATATTATCGAGTATGACACGATGCCATGCGGAGAAACATCGATATCGTGAGCATGTGATGATGCGTCGGCAATGACATCACCAGTATTTGCGTTCTCATTCACATCCTCTGACCAAGATGAAGTGTCAAAATAGCAGTTTTCATCATTTTCTGGGTCAACGTTTATAGTAACTGTGATAACGAGTGTTGTAGACGCGTCGTCTACCTCAACTGTGAGTGTGTAAGACTTGACGGCAGATTCATAGTCGACTGTATGTCCTGCGAAGAAAAACAAAATAAATATAATTAGATCTATATACAAATTATATCTAGAAAAATTAAATTATGCAGCAAGGACAAAAATAATAATCTACCTGTTACCAAAGTAACCAGTCCCGTGGCACTCACTTCAAAGTTAGCGTCAATGTTACCAGCCGTTATTATGTAAGTTAGTACATCATTGTCCAAATCCTCACAGTCAAGTTGTATAACCTACGTAACAATCGTAACAAATAATATTATACACATAATTGGAGTACAATGCGATACTATCTTAATAACGCAGATAGAATGTACTTACGCTAGCGCCATCTAGTGATAGTTCTCCAATTGAAGTAATATAACTGTTTTTCGTACAGGTCGGCTCATTATCATTTTCATTTGTCACTGTTATTATAATATCAGATGTAGCAGTCCTCGGGGTAGGGCTGCCTTCATCAGACAATTTAATAGTCAATGTTATGGGTGAACCAGTGACCTCATAGTCTATAACTGATTTGACTTCTAAAAGACCACTGGACGAATCGATTTGGAAATTATCGTTTATATCACCACCTAGAAAGTAAACCAATACAGGAATAGCGTCATTCGTACTACAGGTACGTTGAAAACGAGTTAATAAAATTTATATTCAGTTCACTGACTGTAACTTAATGCAGTGAACCAGTCTAGTTAATGAATAATCTTTCTTCACGAATAAAACCTGATAAAACCGGCTTGAATGGTCTTACCTTGAATTGCAAAGTTGACAATTCCATCTACGCCACTGTCATCATCACTTGCAATCACCGTAGCCACAGATGTCCCTGGTGAAGTATTCTCAGAAACCTTTAAATCAACATGGAAATATCTTTTAAGATGTCATACGATTATAGACAATGTAATTTTATTTTATTATACCAATATATTAATGATATGACATGAACCGGAGTACTTACCGTGGCTGCAGTGGGGCTTGCGGCATCGAAGACTGGGTCATGGTCGTTACTAGATGTAACCATAATGATGACTGTGGATGTTCCACTGAGTTCTGGAGATCCACCATCCGTTACTTCAACCACGAGTATATACTCTTCTGGGTCGTCGGCTCCGACATCGAGATCGATGGCATTCTTTACTGTAATCTGATGGTTTGCTTGATTGAACTCAAATTTACCATCAGCGTTGCCACTTACAAAACTGTAAGTTAATGTAGACGCAGAGTCAGCGTCGGTAACGGTGAGCGTGACAGCGACGTCACTCACTGCTGCAGTCTCATCAATATATGCAGTGTAAATATGTACGTCAAACGTGGGTTCGTTGTCATTGTAATCGCCGATGTCAACAGTCAAAACACTGGCAGTACTACTTGGTATAGGTGAACCACCGTCTTGTACCTTGACGGTAATATCGTACGATGTGAACGTATCTGCCTCGTAGTCAAAACTGGTAGCTGTTACGATCTCGCCCGTATCCAGGTCTATATAGAACTTATTCGCTCCACCGTCTGTTGATTCAAATATTCGAACAATATCTTATATAGTTAAAGATGCAAAATAATGCGCATGTGCGCTGGTAATTTTGGTACGTACTGTACACTAAAAATCACTGTACACGTGTATACAATGTGCTGCAAACGCGAAATTGGGATTGCATAGGGTGTGTTACGTATTTTAAATACTTGAATGCAAAAGTCAACTCCTGCCACATTTTGAAAAATACCTTTGATTAACATCTGTCGTCAATTAAATGTTGTGCACTTTTGATTTAAATCATAGATTTAAATTATAGAATAAATGTATACATAAAACGTTGTCCCGTGTTGTTACGGCTATAACACACACTACTTATAACTACTATTAACAGTGTATTCTGGCAACCAACGCTTGAACTATGCCAACAATAGAAATAGCCCAGTATCTTCTCTGTCACCATAGTTCTCGCGATACTTTGCGAGAGTTCTGGCGATAGTTTATTTACTCAAAGCATTGAATTATACATAATTTTACGTATATTCAAGTATATGCAAATCGAACTGCTTTTTAAATCATAACTCAATTTCCCGTATATAAATATAACGAAGTGTAACAAAATATGAGATGTTCTTACTTGTCACTGATTGAATGGAATATGTCAGCTGACCCAATGCTCCTTCATCTGTATCACTAGCATCAATGTCACTTGCAGCCAAAACTATGAAACCAGATGCCTCGTTCTCGGAGACCGTGATTGCAGTAGACGGAAATGTAGTAAATGTTGGAGTTGCCTCGTTCTCGTTTTGCAGCTGTGAATATTGTAATATAAATACTGATGTGAAGTCAGCAGAATATGTGCCGTGTGATATAACGTTAAAAGTTTGGACGATTAATGTGGCTAGAAATGTTACGATGCCGAGAGTCATGTGTTATCATTTCGCTATAAACTCGAACGAGATCTTCCTGCAAATCTTGGTTATTTTTTGCCAAAGTAATTTTCCTGAGCAAAAATACTGGTTTACCCTTATGTATGGTGGTCGAATAGGAATCTCATGGAAATAAAACAAAGACGGACACTGTACAAAAATGTACAGACATATGTCTGTATAACGCGTACGTGGACTAGAAAACATCCAATTGGTTTATACCTCGATTATAACTGTAGCTGTTGATCTGTGACTGGCTCCGTCTTCCGCCGACACCATGAGACGATACTCGTGATTTTTACTAATTGCTTCTGAGTCTTCGTAATCCAAGGCATCGGAAGTTGTAATGATGTCATTTCCGGAAACAGCAAACTTAGCTGTCGTATCGTCGCCGCTTTCGATGGTCAATGTTAATGTGTCAGTGGTGTCTTCGTCAGAGACTGTTAGTGTCGCTATAGTTGTACCTATAACAATGTTATTTTACAGTTTTACAAAACATATTTATTTCTATCAAATCCAGTTCAATTTAAAGGACGACAGTCGCCGTGCCGCGTCCTGTTCGATATGGGACTCATAGCGACGTATACAACGCGTGCAAAATACATTGTTTATTTACATGAAATTCGAACACGCGCTGCGCGACGACCACCGCGCTTTAATTTAATTTCGATGATCGACATTTATTGGATATTTAATGCTGTTAATGACTTACTGGCGGGTCTGTTTTCTGAAACCGTTGTGGAGTGAAATGATGGTGTGAACATTGGCGTATATTCGTTGACCTCGTTAACACTAATAGTAAGAGAGGTAGTATCAAAGTTACCGACCGAGTCGGTGATGGTTAATGTAAGTGAGTAGCTTGATATTGGCGAAGTACCGTCTGCTTCAAGGACTGCTGC